TGTACAGTGTACAGTGTACAGCGCTACCTCACTCACTCACGTACCTGCTTGACGGTGGCGAGGCGCGAGAAGGCGGCGGTGTAGACGAGCTGGCGCTCGGGCGCGGCCGGCACGCTGCTGTACAGCGCTGTACAGTGTACAGTGTACAGCGCTACCTCACTCACTCACGTACCTGCTTGACGGTGGCGAGGCGCGAGAAGGCGGCGGTGTAGGCGAGCTGGCGCTCGGGCGCGGCCGGCACGCTGCTGTACAGCGCTGTACAGTGTACAGTGTACAGCGCTACCTCACTCACTCACGTACCTGCTTGACGGTGGCGAGGCGCGAGAAGGCGGCGGTGTAGGCGAGCTGGCGCTCGGGCGCGGCCGGCACGCTGCTGTACAGCGCTGTACAGTGTACAGTGTACAGCGCTACCTCACTCACTCACGTACCTGCTTGACGGTGGCGAGGCGCGAGAAGGCGGCGGTGTAGGCGAGCTGGCGCTCGGGCGCGGCCGGCACGCTGCTGTACAGCGCTGTACAGTGTACAGTGTACAGCGCTACCTCACTCACTCACGTACCTGCTTGACGGTGGCGAGGCGCGAGAAGGCGGCGGTGTAGGCGAGCTGTAGCTCGGGCGCGGCCGGCACGCTGCTGTACAGCGCTGTACAGTGTACAGTGTACAGCGCTACCTCACTCACTCACGTACCTGCTTGACGGTGGCGAGGCGCGAGAAGGCGGCGGTGTAGGCGAGCTGGCGCTCGGGCGCGGCCGGCACGCTGCTGTACAGCGCTGTACAGTGTACAGTGTACAGCGCTACCTCACTCACTCACGTACCTGCTTGACGGTGGCGAGGCGCGAGAAGGCGGCGGTGTAGGCGAGCTGGCGCTCGGGCGCGGCCGGCACGCTGCTGTACAGCGCTGTACAGTGTACAGTGTACAGCGCTACCTCACTCACTCACGTACCTGCTTGACGGTGGCGAGGCGCGAGAAGGCGGCGGTGTAGGCGAGCTGGCGCTCGGGCGCGGCCGGCACGCTGCTGTACAGCGCTGTACAGTGTACAGTGTACAGCGCTACCTCACTCACTCACGTACCTGCTTGACGGTGGCGAGGCGCGAGAAGGCGGCGGTGTAGGCGAGCTGGCGCTCGGGCGCGGCCGGCACGCTGCTGTACAGCGCTGTACAGTGTACAGTGTACAGCGCTACCTCACTCACTCACGTACCTGCTTGACGGTGGCGAGGCGCGAGAAGGCGGCGGTGTAGGCGAGCTGGCGCTGGGGCGCGGCCGGCACGCTGCTGTACAGCGCTGTACAGTGTACAGTGTACAGCGCTACCTCACTCACTCACGTACCTGCTTGACGGTGGCGAGGCGCGAGAAGGCGGCGGTGTAGGCGAGCTGGCGCTCGGGCGCGGCCGGCACGCTGCTGTACAGCGCTGTACAGTGTACAGTGTACAGCGCTACCTCAGTCACTCACGTACCTGCTTGACGGTGGCGAGGCGCGAGAAGGCGGCGGTGTAGGCGAGCTGGCGCTCGGGCGCGGCCGGCACGCTGCTGTACAGCGCTGTACAGTGTACAGTGTACAGCGCTACCTCACTCACTCACGTACCTGCTTGACGGTGGCGAGGCGCGAGAAGGCGGCGGTGTAGGCGAGCTGGCGCTCGGGCGCGGCCGGCACGCTGCTGTACAGCGCTACCTCACTCACTCACGTACCTGCTTGACGGTGGCGAGGCGCGAGAAGGCGGCGGTGTAGGCGAGCTGGCGCTCGGGCGCGGCCGGCACGCTGCTGTACAGCGCTGTACAGTGTACAGTGTACAGCGCTACCTCACTCACTCACGTACCTGCTTGACGGTGGCGAGGCGCGAGAAGGCGGCGGTGTAGGCGAGCTGGCGCTCGGGCGCGGCCTGCACGCTGCTGTACAGCGCTGTACAGTGTACAGTGTACAGCGCTACCTCACTCACTCACGTACCTGCTTGACGGTGGCGAGGCGCAAGAAGGCGGCGGTGTAGGCGAGCTGGCGCTCGGGCGCGGCCGGCACGCTGCTGTACAGCGCTGTACAGTGTACAGTGTACAGCGCTACCTCACTCACTCACGTACCTGCTTGACGGTGGCGAGGCGCGAGAAGGCGGCGGTGTAGGCGAGCTGGCGCTCGGGCGCGGCCGGCACGCTGCTGTACAGCGCTGTACAGTGTACAGTGTACAGCGCTACCTCACTCACTCACGTACCTGCTTGACGGTGGCGAGGCGCGAGAAGGCGGCGGTGTAGGCGAGCTGGCGCTCGGGCGCGGCCTGCACGCTGCTGTACAGCGCTGTACAGTGTACAGTGTACAGCGCTACCTCACTCACTCACGTACCTGCTTGACGGTGGCGAGGCGCGAGAAGGCGGCGGTGTAGGCGAGCTGGCGCTCGGGCGCGGCCGGCACGCTGCTGTACAGCGCTGTACAGTGTACAGTGTACACCGCTACCTCACTCACTCACGTACCTGCTTGACGGTGGCGAGGCGCGAGAAGGCGGCGGTGTAGGCGAGCTGGCGCTCGGGCGCGGCCGGCACGCTGTTGTACAGCGCTGTACAGTGTACAGTGTACAGCGCTACCTCACTCACTCACGTACCTGCTTGACGGTGGCGAGGCGCGAGAAGGCGGCGGTGTAGGCGAGCTGGCGCTCGGGCGCGGCCTGCACGCTGCTGTACAGCGCTGTACAGTGTACAGTGTACAGCGCTACCTCACTCACTCACGTACCTGCTTGACGGTGGCGAGGCGCGAGAAGGCGGCGGTGTAGGCGAGCTGGCGCTCGGGCGCGGCCTGCACGCTGCTGTACAGCGCTGTACAGTGTACAGTGTACAGCGCTACCTCACTCACTCACGTACCTGCTTGACGGTGGCGAGGCGCGAGAAGGCGGCAGTGTAGGCGAGCTGGCGCTCGGGCGCGGCCGGCACGCTGCTGTACAGCGCTGTACAGTGTACAGTGTACAGCGCTACCTCACTCACTCACGTACCTGCTTGACGGTGGCGAGGCGCGAGAAGGCGGCGGTGTAGGCGAGCTGGCGCTCGGGCGCGGCCGGCACGCTGCTGTACAGCGCTGTACAGTGTACAGTGTACAGCGCTACCTCACTCACTCACGTACCTGCTTGACGGTGGCGAGGCGCGAGAAGGCGGCGGTATAGGCGAGCTGGCGCTCGGGCGCGGCCGGCACGCTGCTGTACAGCGCTGTACAGTGTACAGTGTACAGCGCTACCTCACTCACTCACGTACCTGCTTGACGGTGGCGAGGCGCGAGAAGGCGGCGGTGTAGGCGAGCTGGCGCTCGGGCGCGGCCGGCACGCTGCTGTACAGCGCTGTACAGTGTACAGTGTACAGCGCTACCTCACTCACTCACGTACCTGCTTGACGGTGGCGAGGCGCGAGAAGGCGGCGGTGTAGGCGAGCTGGCGCTCGGGCGCGGCCGGCACGCTGCTGTACAGCGCTGTACAGTGTACAGTGTACAGCGCTACCACACTCACTCACGTACCTGCTTGACGGTGGCGAGGCGCGAGAAGGCGGCGGTGTAGGCGAGCTGGCGCTCGGGCGCGGCCGGCACGCTGCTGTACAGCGCTGTACAGTGTACAGTGTACAGCGCTACCTCACTCACTCACGTACCTGCTTGACGGTGGCGAGGCGCGAGAAGGCGGCGGTGTAGGCGAGCTGGCGCTCGGGCGCGGCCGGCACGCTGCTGTACAGCGCTGTACAGTGTACAGTGTACAGCGCTACCTCACTCACTCACGTACCTGCTTGACGGTGGCGAGGCGCGAGAAGGCGGCGGTGTAGGCGAGCTGGCGCTCGGGCGCGGCCTGCACGCTGCTGTACAGCGCTGTACAGTGTACAGTGTACAGCGCTACCTCACTCACTCACGTACCTGCTTGACGGTGGCGAGGCGCGAGAAGGCGGCAGTGTAGGCGAGCTGGCGCTCGGGCGCGGCCGGCACGCTGCTGTACAGCGCTGTACAGTGTACAGTGTACAGCGCTACCTCACTCACTCACGTACCTGCTTGACGGTGGCGAGGCGCGAGAAGGCGGCGGTGTAGGCGAGCTGGCGCTCGGGCGCGGCCGGCACGCTGCTGTACAGCGCTGTACAGTGTACAGTGTACAGCGCTACCTCACTCACTCACGTACCTGCTTGACGGTGGCGAGGCGCGAGAAGGCGGCGGTATAGGCGAGCTGGCGCTCGGGCGCGGCCGGCACGCTGCTGTACAGCGCTGTACAGTGTACAGTGTACAGCGCTACCTCACTCACTCACGTACCTGCTTGACGGTGGCGAGGCGCGAGAAGGCGGCGGTGTAGGCGAGCTGGCGCTCGGGCGCGGCTGGCACGCTGCTGTACAGCGCTGTACAGTGTACAGTGTACAGCGCTACCTCACTCACTCACGTACCTGCTTGACGGTGGCGAGGCGCGAGAAGGCGGCGGTGTAGGCGAGCTGGCGCTCGGGCGCGGCCGGCACGCTGCTGTACAGCGCTGTACAGTGTACAGTGTACAGCGCTACCTCACTCACTCACGTACCTGCTTGACGGTGGCGAGGCGCGAGAAGGCGGCGGTGTAGGCGAGCTGGCGCTCGGGCGCGGCCGGCACGCTGCTGTACAGCGCTGTACAGTGTACAGTGTACAGCGCTACCTCACTCACTCACGTACCTGCTTGACGGTGGCGAGGCGCGAGAAGGCGGCGGTGTAGGCGAGCTGGCGCTCGGGCGCGGCCGGCACGCTGCTGTACAGCGCTGTACAGTGTACAGTGTACAGCGCTACCTCACTCACTCACGTACCTGCTTGACGGTGGCGAGGCGCGAGAAGGCGGCGGTGTAGGCGAGCTGGCGCTCGGGCGCGGCCGGCACGCTGCTGTACAGCGCTGTACAGTGTACAGTGTACAGCGCTACCTCACTCACTCACGTACCTGCTTGACGGTGGCGAGGCGCGAGAAGGCGGCGGTGTAGGCGAGCTGGCGCTCGGGCGCGGCCGGCACGCTGCTGTACAGCGCTGTACAGTGTACAGTGTACAGCGCTACCTCACTCACTCACGTACCTGCTTGACGGTGGCGAGGCGCGAGAAGGCGGCGGTGTAGGCGAGCTGGCGCTCGGGCGCGGCTGGCACGCTGCTATAAAGCGCGGCGCCCGCTCCCGCGCCCACTGCACTCGCGCCCACGCCCACACCTGGGGGTGGAATGCCACCTCGCTTACTAAACGACAGAGCTCACTAGAAGACTACGATAACACGCACACCTATAACCAAATAAGGATGCAGACAACGATCCGCCTTATTTCTAACTTACGTCTTTGAGCTTACTTGACTTGCTGGACATTGGACAAGTATGTATGGAAATCTATAGCCAAAAATATTTACGAGTAAGTCAACACAATAGAAACCGTTTTTATACCTTTGACCTCGAATAACTTACGACGCAGACACGAAATTTTATGAGAGTTGAGACAGCTTTTAGAACGCTAAAATGAAGGTATATAGGAAAATTCAGTTTATTATACGGAAATGCAGCTTATTATCCCTGTTACGGCCCACAGCTGCCCCTACAAAGGACGCCTTGGCTAGGGCCCATAGTAGCCTCCTCGACAGGCAGCCGAGGGTACGGGCCCAAATGGCCTTATGGAAAAATGACCTATCATACTACAAAATAGGGAGAAGGCTAGGAAAATAAATGGTACGTACCTGGATCCGAATCTAAGACCGAAGGCTCGGTCAGGCCATAGGTAGAGTATATGCATGTAAAGTAGTGTTTAGTGGTGTGTATATGTGGGTGACCTGGCCCAGCTGAGGTGACCTGGCAACGGCCGGTCCCATGCTGCCCCACAATGCTGCATCACTCCAGCAGGCGTCCACAATGGACAGTTTATTTCTTCATTTCACTATTTCAGTCTATCCACTTCATTGTACATTTAACTAACTTCAACTCGACTAATTCAACGTTCATCGTAGAATCGAACACGTGATACCCGACACAAATAACGGACAGTAGTTCAAAGTTCAACATTCAATGTCCCGGATTCATTTATCACCAAATTACAAATAGGGAACTAACGCGATCTCTTCATGAGTCACACGGTTCACCGTTACAAACACAACTAAGCTCCTTCGTTCGATATTAAACACCACGCCGCAATAAGAATTCAAAATCTACCTAGCTGACACGTAAACTAGCTACCGAGTTAACACACAAAAGGCTCTTAACGCGACGATATAATTAAACGATGATTTCCAAACAATCAACCGGTAGACGCCCTCGAAAAAGAATGCGCGGTTCGAATTCTAGACCGTATATCTACTCGGCGCGCGCGCGAAATTCCACGTCACACGAGCAAGTTAAATATTGCAAAATGCACTTCAACACGCAATCACTATATAATTTGCGCAATTACTTTCAAACGAAATTACTTTAATCAGTCAAATACAATACAAGCGTCTTGTCACGAACTTAAAACATATACAAACTAAACCGAGGCGGTTTTCACGAAACCACAATTACGTAGCGAAGTAACACGCACTAATTCTAAAAATCTAGACCATAAACCGGTCGCACGAAACTTCTGCAGCGGTAACCGAGATAAGCTAATTAATATTATTTATACCTAACAAATTTTGTCGTATCTATATCAGTTAACAGAATTATTTTTAATTCAATAAACAGGCAAGGCTAAAATATGAGGTCGCCATTTTGTGAGTCTTTGTGAAACCAAGAACTGTAGAATATACTAATGTTAAACGTAGTAGAGTGATGGTGCAGTAGCTATAAATTGTTGACCACTAGTGTTAAAATTGAGATACAGCATAAATTACATCGTCAAATGACTTTTAACTCTATTAATTTTAAACACTAAAGAGGTATCATCAGCAAACAACAGTATTGTTCACATAAGTTTTTAGCACAAAAAGGAAGATCATTTAAAAAAGCAATGGTCCCAATATTGCTCCTTGGGGTACACCTATTATGATTAAGGGTACTCCACAAAACTCAGTCCCATTTATAACTGTTTTTGCAATCGGTCGAATAAGTATGATTTTATGAGGATTGCCGAATTTATTGAAACACTAAAATACCTTAATTTTATTAAAAATGTATCATGGTTTACGCAACCAAACGCCTTTGATAAGTCACAAAATACCTATGTCACCCTGTTTACCTTCCCAAGTTTCATATAACGGATTTGAGAAGTGTAATGCCAGCGTCAGTAGTACGCTTACATCTACAGAAACCGTACTGACTGACTGATACCTACAAGTTTTTTTTTTGTTAAATTACCAATTTCATTTTCATTTTTAAATTCTTTTGTTTTGTTTTATTTAAACCTACCAATTATATCACCGTGTCTTATAAAAAAATGTTGGAAATATTCGATAGTAAATACTTGGTTATTGTCATTTATTTTTCTACATAAATATATTAAGTATTCACTATAGAGAAGTTTTTGAAAGTTTAAAAATTATTAAGAAATATTAAAAAAAATGTTTTTAATTGATTTGTCATGTAATTTTACAATTATAAATGTTTTTCTAAAATGTATGTAAATTCAAACGACAGTGATGTCATTATATCGCTTTAGTAATGCCACCTCATGGTGAAATGATAAAACACTCATGCTTACGTTGTCTAAATAAAAAAAAATAGCATGTACGTGGTAGAGCCATGCTGCAGCTATATTTCTGGTATAGTTGTAACACGAATGGGTCGGCTCGACCGGGGAAGGACCACGCTCTCACAGAATACTAGCGTAAAATAGCAGCTTAATGCTGCTGTGTTTCGTATGGTGAGTGTAGAGAACCGGAGACCCTTTTTACTGGAAACGAGGCATTCCATCTTAGTCCTCACGGGTGACAACGCATCTGCGTTTTGATTCGTAATCGAGGATAAATGTGGATGTCTATGGGCCGCAGCAGCCACTTACCATCAGGTGGACTGTGTGCACGTTTGTCACCCTTATCCTATAAAAAAAAATTGCATAATACAGGTTACATATGTTTTGTTACGATTGCGATCGGCTCGAAGCCTTCACGGATATAATGACATCACAACCAATTACAAGTAAAAAAAATTAAACTATATTTTATTAATAATTACAAAAAAAATGGAGTTGTTAAGAAAAAAATATTTAAATATACTTTAAATGAACTATTCTTTCATTTATATATAAATTAGTGGCAAAAAAATATTCTAACTTCTCTACATATCATTTAGGGTATATTAGTTATTTAGTGATTCTACAATTAATCAATTCAAATAATGATTATCGAAAACACAGTTAAAACACTGCGAAATCACATGGTTTTACTCATCCAAAATGTCAAACGCGCATGATACAGTCGAGTATATACATACAATGTATAAGTGTATATATGTGTATACATGTATACAGGTCGCTATACTACGCGTCGCTAGTCTGGCGCAAGCGCAATAGGTCACCGGTGACGCAAACCCGTAAGTTTTTCTCCTACCAAAAATCGCTCAACGCGGCTAAAGAAGTTTTTACTCCAATTAAATCTGCGCTTTAAACAAAACTGTCAATATTTTCCTATTTGGTAAATATTATAATAATTATAGTCTTCTACTACTTCAGTTTATTTAAGCTATTCTTGTTTTGAAATGCACCCATTGTCATGCCTTTTTGGAAAAGTTGCCTAAACTTACCACATTTAGCTGACGGGTTGGTGAACTATTTATGCGATTGGGTTAGACATATTATTTGAATGGATTTTTCATACACTATTTATAAGTGAGATTGGCAAAAAACTTACGTGGAGTGCTCGGAACATGACGAAGAATCTTCAGTTGTAATGGGTATAGCTCAATTTCGACATCCGAATTCGGTGGTCTGATCACCTGAAATATAGATATTGATGTATTATCAGATACACATATATTAAGGAATTTAAGTATTTATTCCGGTAGGGCACGTAGGGGAGGGCGTAGACAAGGTAAGAAAATAGTTGACGATGCAAATGTTTGAGTCAGTGGGTTAAATAGTAAATGTATTATTAAGTGTCAAGAAAGGAAGTAGAAAAGAACGTAATTAAATTTCTAATTTAGGACGGATGACACATATTGGGGAAAGCAGATATGAAAGCAGTTGAATATACACTTGAGAAGTCAGTCACAGAAGTACTAAAAGATGGAGTGAAGAGCCCAGTGAGGTAGCGGCACCTGTCTCGGCAACGGCACCTGTCGTGGCAGGGGGTCAGGGCCGCCATACCAGAGCGCGGGTGACAGGCGTTAGTGTTTGTGTATTGAGAGGAAGAGCGCAGGATGCAGAGTGTCAGTGTGTGTGGCGGCACCTGTCGCGGCAGCGGGTCCGGGCCGCCGTACCAGAGCGCGAGCGCGCGCCACAGCGCGTCGGGCAGCAGCTCGAAGTCGCGGTGCTGCGCCAGCGTCACGTCGCGCCGCAGCAGTCCGCCCTCGCCCGTCAGCGTGCGCACCTGCCGCAAGCACACACGCACAAACACATTTCAGGATGATTTCTTCGTCCATTTTTTTATACAATTAAGCCGCGTATCGATTACTCGCTCCAAGAGGGCGAACATTGGCGCGCGCTCCAGCCGCACGAAATGGATACCACCGTGGAGTATAATTAACAGCGAAACCGGTAAAGACAAACCTCGTAACTCAAACTATCAATTAAAAATTAACAATGAATTGACTAAATCAAATCAAGAAGTCGGAGCGGTGTTTGAAAAATATTTTCACAGATGTTCTTAACTTGACAACAGAGTCATTGAATACGTCTCCAACTGTCGCCGAACTGTCATTACTCAAACAAAATGTTAATACCTGTTTAAAAGAATTTAGAGTTGAAAAAGTATAACCGCAAGATATTGTAAAATACATCAAAACCAATGATGTAAAGAAAACTGCAGATTTGTGGGGGATTTCTGTTACAGTTATTGCGTCCATAATAGATTTAATTGCACCTCATCTTGCTATTATTTTTAATACTTGTATCGATTCTGGTTTGTTTCCTGATTTAAAGTAGTAAGGTTACCTTTATTTAAATCTGGTAGTACATTGGACCTCGCTAATTTTAGACCTATTTCTGTACTACCAACTCTCAGTAAAATTTTTGAAAAAATAATTTTTGATAAATGTTAATTTTTTTTAATACAAATAAATTACTTCATAAAAACCAATTTGGTTTTACAAGGGGTCACTCGACGTCTGACACCGGTGTTGAGCTTATGAAATATATTTGTTAATACCTAGGAGAATTCACAGGATGCCTTAGGTATTTTCTTTATCTTTTCAAGGCTTTCGATTGTGTTTATCATGAGCCATTAACCAAGAAACTACAACATTACGGTGTAAAAAATTGGCGCTTAGACTTATTACTTCATATTTAAGTACCAGAATTCACAAAGTCGTGATCAATAGTAAAGGTTCCTCCGGGTCGGTAGTATTAATGGGCGTTCCTCAGGGCTCGATTCTGGGCCTATTCCTGTTCTTAATCTATATTAATGACTTACCTTAACTTGTAGGGGACAATCACGATATAGTATTATTTGCTGACGATACCTCTCTAATTTACAAACTCAAACGGCAGTCAATTAATTATGACGATGTAAATAATGCTCTATCGAAATTAGTGCATTGGTTTAACGCCAACAATTTGCTCTTAAACGGCAATAAGACAAAATGTATTAAATTTACAATACCTAATGTAAAACATTCGAATAGCAATGTGCTCTTAAATGGGGAGGAGTTGAGTCTTGTGGATACCACTGTTTTTCTTGGTATTACTATTGACGCGGAACTTCAATGGGCCCCCATATATCCAAATTAGCAAGCAGACTTAGTTCTGCAGTATATGCTGTAAGAAAGATTAGAAGTCTCACAAATGTTGAGACAGCTAGATTAGTGTATTTTAGTTACTTTCATTGCGACTCATATTGAAGCTATATTTGTTTTGCAAAAGAGAGCCGTACGGGCGATTTATAACCTGAATTGTAAAGAGTCCCTCAGAGAAAAATTTAAAGAAATAAACATATTAACTTTGGCATCGCAATATATTTATGAAAATGTAATGTATGTACATAAAAAACATAAATAGTTTTAATAAGAATAAGGATGTTCATACTTTAAACACTAGGAACAAATATAAGCTTGTAATGCCAGTTACTAGACTCCACAGAATCAGTAATTCATTTATGGGCAATGTATACACTTTTACAACAAAATCCCAGAAAATATTCAAAGTTTGTGAATAAACAAGTTTAAAAGTTTTATTAAAGAAAAACTGCACAAAAGGGTTATTATAATATCAAGGAATACATGAATGATAATAACCCCTGGGAATAAAGTGATCGCCACCATGCTGGTTCTATGAAAATTAATTTAAAAGTTGTATAAACAAAATTATTGTTAAGTGAAATATGTTTGAAAAAAAGTCCCGCTGGGTTTCTTGCTGATTCTTCCCAGGACAGATGTATTTTCCGAACCATGGGTATGTAGTGTGTGCTTATATATATGTAGGATAGAATAAGAGAGAGTTAGTATTAAACCTACCGTCTAGACTATTGGACGTTTTATTTATTCCCCGAACCACCCAACACTACATGGCGACCCTGCCAGTTCATCGGCGGTCTGCCTGGGTTCGGTCGCGGGCCGCGTTTTAAAAAAAAAAAAATGTGTCGTTCTGAAGTCAAGAAAGACCAAGTATTTATTACGCAAGACACTTCAGGAGGCTCAAATTCTGCACATGTAGAAGAAATTAAAAGCCACCTGTCTGGGATATCCGTCGTGCTGATTATAATATGCACAGTTTTGGGCTTGGCTCTTCTCTATGGTGTATACAAAATATACAAAAGTTGCCATACAAGCTGGATGCGGAATGAGATGGTAATGCACAATTTGCGTCGTTCTTTTGTGCGATCACCGGACCCAGGACCTCGTGTACCCCGTGTATGCTGTGAGTGCCGCCATGAGGACCGCCGGGAGACAACGAAAGCGTCAAGTTGAAAAAATGAGGTTTAAATTGAAAAATATGTTATAGTTTAAGTTTAAAAAAAAAAAAAAGGGAAAAAAAAAATAAAAATAGCCTTATATGTATGCCTTAAACCTTAAAATATTTTGACAACGATATTTCTTTTTAACTGTACTTCCATGTCTAGTGAATTAATAATAATATATGAAAAATTTAAAAATATTAAAAATAATTTAGTTAAATTAAGTTATGATAAGCGAACTAAAAGCATTTTGCAACAAAAACTTAAGGAATCAGTACAATTACGTAAAGAATTTGATGATTGTTTGATAATTTTAAATAAAGAGATAGAAAGTAAACAAATTAAAAGTAATGCATTAATTGAAATACAATCATATTGCGATTTAATTAAGAGTTTATATGGACAAATAGAAAACTTTTGTAGTAAGGATTACAGCTCTCAATCAACTTCCAAGGGCACTATTCAAAGCGAAATATTCACCATGGAAAGTTTCGACTTTAAAACTGCTGTGTCACTCCTGCCAGTGATGACGGGCGAGGAATCGGTCACCAAAACCTTGATGGACTCGATAGAGTTATATAGCTCTTCGCTTAAAGAAGAAGGTAAGTCTATGTTAATAAAATTTGTGTTAAAGACTCGTTTGAATGAAGGTGCTAAGTTACGCCTATTAGATTCCTATGACTCATGCGAGGCGCTTATAAGTGATATGCGGAACCACCTTTTAACAAAGAAATCTTACACTTCCATTCATAACGAACTAATGCAAATAAGACAAAATAGTAGTTCCCTAGATAATTATGGCAATAAAATCGAACAATTATTCGTAGATTTGACGATTTCCCAAGCCGATGGTGACCAAAACGCGCATAAAATTTTACGTCCTATAAATGAAAAGATCGCTATTAAAAGTTTCACAAATGGCTTGCGAAACCGACAACTCAGTATTATTTTGTCAGCACGCAATTATAGTACGTTAAAAGAAACAATTAGAGCTGCAAAGGATGAGGAGACATCTAGTGTTCGACCTAGCGAGTACACCGAACCATCGATTTATTTCGGAAATCGAGGTGGTTCAGGAACGCGTAAAAATTTTCGTGGTAGGTATACATCCAATAATGTACCACGACAAACATATCCTTGGCATACCCAAGCAAAAAATAATGTGAATTGGAGGAAACCGGTACCCCAAAAGTTTTCGTGTGGAAATCAACAACACCGCGGAAAAAAAGGTAATTATGGTGAGTACTCATACCAGAATCGCGGATCTTTTCGTGGTCAAAATGCCCAGCGAGTTCATTTTATAACACCAGAATATCGCGTATCGCAAAGTTCTCAAAATATTGAAATTAACCCTAATAACGATAATAGTGAAAATAACCTAGAATTTTTTCGAGACCAATAATATATTTAGTTGCGAATATAGTAATTGTGTTGAGTTAGCAATAGATGGTATCAAATGTAGATGGCTCGTAGATACCGGCGCTTCTTTATGTGTGATTAAATATGACACGCTTAGTAAACTAAACATTTCATTACAAAAGAAACCGATTACAATAAACGGAATTGGAGGCAAATTACGAACCGTGGGATTTGTTGATTTAACATTGTCTGTTGACGGGCTGAAATTTAATAATAAGTTTCATGTTATAAAGCAGTTGCCGTGTGAAACTTCTGGAATTTTAGGTATAGATTTTTTACGTAAATTTAATTGTAACATAAATTTTGAATTGAATACTATTACACTGCATAATATGAATGAATTAGTAACTTTGCCATTGCATATGGGTATTTTGGGAAATAATAATTATTTGAGTATACCTCCGAGATGCGAGAATTTATTTTATATCAATGCGAGTATGAAAGAAGATTGTGTTGTCTTTCCGAAAGAGTTATGCGAGGGAGTATTTCTGTCTGGTGGAATTGTCAAAGCGAATAACGGGAAAATACCAATAAAAATATTAAATACACGAGAGGATCCGGTCAATCTTAGTTATTTTAGACCTGAAACCGATAGTTTACATAATTATTCAATTTGTAAGTTTGATAAAAGTCTCATTGATCCCGAACGCGTTCATAAAATGTTAAATTTATTAAATTTGGATCATTTAAATAAAGAGGAAAAATCTTCTATTATACATATTTGTGCAAAATTTTCCGACATATTTTTATTGCCAGGAGATCAATTAACAACTTGTAACTTATATGAACATAATATTCAGTTAAAACCTAATATTGACCCAGTGTATGTAAAACAGTATCGATTACCCTATTCTCAGAGGAACGAAATAGAAACACAAGTCAAAAATATGTTACAAGACGGAATTATTGAACCAGCTTGCAGTGAGTGGTCAAGTCCTGTGCTTCTTGTACCCAAAAAGCCAGAAAATGGTGAGGACAGGAGCTGGCGCTTGGTTATCGATTTTCGAAAATTAAACAACTGTATTGTAGATGACAAATTTCCGTTACCCAATATTACAGAC